ATACTGTATAGTACCTACATTTATGTTAAACCATTTCAGAGAGGCACATAGTATTTTACTGCCTACATCCCAGTTTGTCAAGCAGGTGAGCAGGATTCCTGAAAGGCAGAAGCTCCCTTTGTAGGAATGAGAGGAGCTGGAGGAGGACGGCTGCACGCTGTGATTCCTCTGTCCTCTCGAAGTCTTCCATTGCAATCGAAGTGCAGTTTAGCTCCCTCAGCGAGTGCGTGTTGACATATTCGATGTATTAAAAGCAATAATCATAGCCTAGGAGATATCTGTAAACCTTAAAAAGTGTTTGTGGGGAGCGGGGGAGAACGGCCACGGCTGAGAGCATTTGAGGCACAGCATTTCGGTGTCCCGAATACACGAAAGGGTGTCTTCCGTGTGTTGAGGACCGTGTGTGAGGGCAGACACAAGGGTTTTCCCTCGAGCGTTAAGGGATCGACTGATCACCTACAAGGAAAAAATTGTAACCACTTGTCATTTGCATAGACTGGTATATGCCGCTTTGATATCCGCTCTACCTACTCGTGCAAAACACTGTGTAAAACCCACCAGCCTTACTGTTTAATTTTTGTTAATATTCATGCTAAAACATAACTTAACGAGAAAATATGCCCATGTGACTAACTATATTGGCAGTGTTGACTCCACGGGATTTAATACTCGGTATGAAAGCTGAAAATCCAAAAGCCTTTCTTCCCTAGATCTAACAAAAACCAGTTCTGAAAGTAGGTTCTGGTTTGTGTCAGAAAAGACTTAAATGCCAGCTGTTCATGCTGCTTTTACCTCCGTTCCAATCAAGCTTTCGATTAAAGAAGTTGTAATTGTTAAAATCTATATTGTATCTGTTTACAGACTTATCTTTTCATTTTTAAATATCAAAATCACCAGGGTTTTGGCAGGCATCTGAATCTGGTTAGAAAATGTACATCCAAAGCACCTTATGAGGAGAGAGAGGTCAATTTTAATTTTTATATTAGGTGCCTTAAATTTAAATGCTAGAAAACAGAGTGTGTGTGTGTGTGTGTATACATATATTTATATATTAGAAATGAAAATTTTAATATCTTAAGTGTATTTTTCCTTTTTATTTTCTATATTAAAAAACCCTATTGCTTTTTAAACTGCACCAGTAATTCTAAGCAAGGTCATCGATTCAGTGCAATAATATAAGGGAGATGCCTGGTTTTCTACTCCTGCATGACCTATTTACTGAGTAGCTGGTACACGCTGGAGCTTCCTAGGTTATTGAATAGCTGATCAGGTAATACAGATTCTACAAGTTGTACACATTCAGGCTAAAATGCGATGATTATAATTCTGTCCTTTCACTCCATCAGTATTAACTAGACTCACTGCACGAAAGTATTTCGAATGACTGAGTTGAACTAGAGCAGTTATATAACTCCGTGTAAGCCCGAAATTAGGTTACTGAAGTTTGTCCTAGATGCTAAATTTGTCTTCTGGACTGTTGTCCTGACACACAGCAGTTCTGCTAGCCTTTTCTTTTTTCCCCTCAAGTTAGAACATAACCGTGGGTATATGCAGTGGCCTAAGGAAGTTCTTCAGTGTAACAGCTCCTCACTCCTCCTGCCTTCTGTGTGGTACCCAATTACTTATCCATGCAAGAAATTTCCCTGTTTTGCTCCCTCTGTTTAAGTTTCTTTAAAGACTTTGGCAGGGACTTTTTGAAAGCCTTTCAGAAAGCTGGGAAGATGGTATGCATGAGAGCATCTCAGTGTTTTTGCTTGTTCGTCTCTTCAAAGAAATCTCAGGTTTGTAAGGTCTGATTTTTTTGTTTTCAAAAGCAATATTGACACTTCTGAAGAAGACTCACCCAGTAGTTATATTATCTGTTGTGGCTTTTACTAATTTATTCAGTATGGATATAAGGTTAGCAACCTATTAGCTTCCTCCCTGACCATTAAAAAATGGCATCACGTTTGCCACCTCCTAGTTCCTGAGGTATGTAAGCAAGAGATTACGTACCACCATTACCAATTCGGGAACTTTGTTCTTGAGTTTCTCTAGGTCCTTTGGGTGGCATGATTCGGTTCTGTTACCTCTTCACGTCCTAAGCATACAACTTTCGTGTTTGGCCATATGAAAACATAAATGATTTGCTCTTATCTGCTCTAACCCTTGGTCCAGTTGTGATTTGAATTATCCTTTTACCTACTCACAACCCTCATCTTTTCCTGCAGGTTTGATTAGTTTTGCGTTGCTTTACTTTGGGTTACTTAAAAAATACAGAACAATGTAGGGCCAAGAATGATTTGCACTGGTGCCTCTTAGAAGTGTATTGGGAGGTCCAGAGCATCACCTACTTGTGTTTCAGTAAGGTTTAGTGGTTTGGCAGCTGATCAGTCTTTAATCCATTTAATATACGTTGTGTTCTTATAATGCTTGGATACTTTAATTGAAATATTATGCAACATTCAGTTGTTACATAAATCTAAACATATCATTATCAACAGCATTACCTTGTCAACCAAACATGTAATCTCCTCAGATGATGTTTGGGAGGTTAATTGGACCAGATCAGGTTGGTTGGTATCTGTTGCTGCTCTTCGATTTCATAGGAAGACTTCCATATCTTGATTCTGTGTTTTGACTCAGCTTGAGGGAAACTAATTATTTAGAACCTACATATATCAAAATCATCCTTTAACCCTTTCATAGTAATTGTTTTCTTCGCTATTTCTGTATTAAGACTTCGTATAAGTCAGCCTGTATAGTCTGGGGATTTCCTTGGAGATCTCTCTTAAAAAACCTTAACTTTTAGTGTTGTTGGATATGTTTATAAATGGATAGCCTAAGCCTAGGCAGTAAGCCTGTAGCAGCTGAGTAGCATCTTCTGTAGTGACACATGGAGTAGGTGTTCACGGCCCGTTAGGGAGTTGAACTTCCTCCGCCTGCTCTACCGCTCTGCTGTGCTGACCGTACCGGCGTTGCATACGTTCTTGCTGAGACACAAACAGGATTTGTAACCAGCTCTGCCCCAACCCCAAAACAGCCTGTACACAGATTCTTCCTTACTATTCTGCGTATCATCCTTTCTGTGGCATGTGTATGAAGTTAGTGATAAAGTCTAAATATATATATTTTTTATAATTATTATTATTATTACTACTACAGAGAGTGAAAAAATACTGTTGATACTGGATAATATGCTTTATCTACTGCAACCAGAGAGGATCCCAAACTGTGTTAGGGTGTAGTCAGTCTTCAAATGCATGGAAGACGGCTTCGAATCCTGTTTTCAGGAATACATTTAGACAAGCCAGGCAGCAGTAATTTTAGGTGTGGTTATTTCTGCCTTGTGTGATGGGGTAGAATGACTTTCCAGAGTATTTTTCAAACCTTGATTTCCATGATTGACTCCTCTGCCTCCTGTAAGGAGTCTCGCAGTAAAAGGTGGTTGAACAGCAGCTCCAGGTGTACCGTTTTTGGAAACTCTGACTGTTTAATTTCTTCACAGCCTCTTTGGAAGAGACACCTCAGTGGTCCCAGGGCGTCCCAGTTTTATCAAGATGTTGGTCTCACAGCGCCACTGATTAGAGCAGCTCTGGAAATTTTCTTAGCAACTGAGTTACACAGAGAATAGGTGTTGAAGAAATGAGAAGTCATGTTCTCTGAGAATGAAGACCAGGGGTTGCGCCCATGGGAGAAGAGTCTGTGCATTGCTTGGGTACCTACGCTAGGGAGTGAAGAGCTAGAGAAGGATGGGATGCTACTGGAAGATAGAGATGTTGGAGTTTGAATAGTGAATATCAGCATGGCTAGTACAAGCTGAAGTAGAACTGCTCTAATAATATTCTCATGCGACAATGGGGAGAGTTCAGGAGGTTATGAGGACCTTATTTTTTCCTACTTATATATGGTAAGACTTTTGGAGAATGTTACTTGTACAGGAAGCAGGTAACCTTGTATTGTAAAAGTCCGTTTTATCACCCACTATTCTATAAAGGTACCTTGTTTAATTTCAGGAATTAATGAGTCTAGGGATTCATCTGACTGAACTGCCAAAAAATAATTGTACCTTCTGTTTAGATCTTACATCCTCATTTTTATTTTTTATTAGCAAAACAGGTCTGAACTTTGAAGGAGTGTTTCAAACCCTTGCTTTCAGAGCCTCATTTGACCCTTACTGTTCCTTTTGGAGACAGCATGCCTTAATTTTGAAATCTTAATTTAAAAGAGAGAGTGAGAAGGACAATAAATAAAGGGGGTTTAAATCCAGGCAGTCCTTGTATGGATACCTAACTGGGAGTGATGTCAAAGTCTATTGTGCTTTTTTCAAGTGTATTTTTAAAAGAGATGGTTGCCTAGGTCAGTGCCTTTTTGAACAGAAGATTAATAAGCATCCGTGAAAAAAGAAATAAGTTCGGAGTATGTGAGTGAGAAGTTCTTAATGTGTCATCAGTGGCAATAGCCCAATTACAAACGACAGTACAAAGAGAACAGGGAACTGCAGGCTCACTTGTGCTTCAGTAAGGGTTTCTTCTGCTCACAGCACCTTTCTCAACTTGCTAGTCCTCCCAGAAGTACAGCCGGTAAGCATTAGCCTGTCTGAGGACATAACACCTCGCACGTTTTATTAGCAAGGTGAAGTTGCTTGCTGTCAGTGTTCTAAGAACTGCATCTTAACTGCACTACACGGATGCTCACTGTGGAACACTGTGCATTGGTGCTCTGTTAAATGCCGTCTTTATTTATGCGTGGTATCTTTTGATCTAAGACATTCAGGTTTGACTACCCAAGCATGGATTTGCAGTTAAGCTGCCAGCAAACTTTTTGTTTGAAAGTTCCGACCTTAAATGCAAAGCACATTCCTTTTGTTGTTTTTTTTTGTTTGTTTGGTTGATTTTTTTTCCTTTCTAGTAACCTTTAGGAGTATGAAAACCTTTGTCACTTGTTTTAAATATCCTTATGATAGGTCCTTGTAAGCCTGTATGTATTTATAGTAAATATTACACTGTCTTTGTCACCAGGGAGATTGCAGCTATGAACTGGAGATTAAGCCTCACTTACGTATTGAAGACGTTAATGTTCAAAGGAATAAAAGTCATCTTTCCATGACCAACTCCACATTTGATCAGAAAGCACGCTCATCTGGAAAAGACATGGCACACAGATCAAAAGTAAAACCATTTTCACCTGATACAAATGATAATGGGAGTCAATTATTTTCCATGTGTAAAATAACAAAAACAAAGTCTCCCAAAAGAACTTCTGGATTACATTTGGAAGCGCCTGCATTGCCTACAGATATTGATACTTCAGCTTCTTACTCAGCAAGAAGGCTTGCTCTGGTTGAAAATACTGACCAGGGCAGTCAAAAGGATGAGGAACTAGAGGTGACATTTGACTTGAATTCATTTATTGACCTATGTGACAACAGTGAAAGTGCTGTAATTCATGAAAGTGCAGCAATAAAGGAATACAAAACTGTAGATAAAGATTGTAGGTCACTGGGAAGGAACCATGCAGATTCAGGTTATAGTAGCTTCACAGCTGAGAAATCACCTGTGTCCTCTGACTTATTTTATCTTCCTGAATCATACGTGGATTCATTTGCACTTGTGAGACCATCTGAGGCGCCTTCTTGGTTAGAACAAATGTTTTCCCGTGTGAAAAGGCTTTTATCACAATCTCCTCCGTCTTCAAATAACATTTATGATTTTGAAAACATGATGAGAAATGAAGAAACAAGATGTCCTTTTCAAAAAGCTACTTCTGATAGTTATGCAGAGAGACTGTGGGACAAAGTCTTTCCTGTGTCCTCAGAAGTCGATCGTTCACTCCTGCTCTTTGAAAATCCTGAACTGAAAGTCACCAGTGACTTGTGTGCTTCCGTAAGTACCCGTTTTTCAAAAACTCTATCCTCCTCTGAGACGGCTGCTGTTAAAGCCCGAGAGGAACTTGACTGGAATGACAGCTTTGATGGTCTGTTTGACAATGAAGAATTCACTGAAATTCAAAAGAAAACTCCAGCAATAAATCACACTCTGACAAATAAGCCTTCAAATAAGTATTTTGTTCAAGAAGATAAAGATGATCTTGAAATGAACAAGAGAAATGTGACTATTAACGAAGAGAAGAGTATACGTTTATTTGAAGATGACCACGTTTCTGACACAAATAATGGAAGTTTTTCAGCGCGCAGCAAGCGTTCAGTCAAGCCAGGTTCAGGCGAGAGTGGCGTTAGGCCAGCTGCAGAGCGAGGCTCCGAGCGGCCTCCCTCGGAGGTGTGCTGCGTGAGCGCTGGCAAAGCCTGCAGGGAGCAGCCAATAAGCGGTAAAACCGCAGCCGTGGGAATGTCGGGTGAGCTTAGTGTGACTGAGGCGTTTCTGGATACTGATGATCTTTATGACTGTTCTCAAGAGCTGCTTTCTGTTAACTTTGATCTGGGATTTTCCATTGAAGAGTGTGAGAACGAGATCTTTGAAGAAGCTATAAATACTAATAATACCAGAAAAGTAAATGGTGCCTCAGGGAGTCATGCAGATGTTAAATCCACTGAAGATAAAAATAAATTACTGAATAGCTCCAGACTTGAAACGTCGCCAAAATGGGATTGCAAAAGTCTTGAGAGAAGAGGCGTTTCCACACCACTGGCATTCCGGAGCAGGAGCATGAATGATGGAGAAGGGACTGAGGATGCTACCACTGCAGTGCCTTTCTTGGGGTCAGGAGACAGAAGAAGGGGATGGGGATCACCTGAAGCTTTGGCTTCTGCACTTTCTACCCCAACAGGTAGAAAGGTTATGAATATTGAAGCTATCAAAAGAATTCCTATCAATTTCTTCTCTAGTGCCAGGGAGGAAATTCCAGAGGCGCCTCTTAAAGATAAAGTAAATACAAGCCCACGTAGGCAGAACTTTGGGAGTTCAGCCATGGATGCGCTTGATTCCCCTTTAGGAGGAACTGAAAACCTCGAAGACACCAACCTTCATGGTTCACGG